GGATTCGAACCCGCCACCTTGGGTGTATGTGGCTGGCGCCTTAGCCGCTTGAGCCATAGGCGCCCAGCCTCTGTAGGTTTTCTTACAAGTATAAAATCCAAAAATGTTCCCCAAGTTTTGCTCCTATGTTCTCTGATTCATTTGATAGCCTGATTTCTAGGTCAGTGTTCCATGTTTTCTTTTTTTGACTGGGGCTAGATTTGAACCCACTACCTCCAGTGTATGGGGCCAGTGCCCTACTCCTTTGAGCCACAGGAACTGCCTAGTGTTAGAGGTTTTCAATGCATCTTTGGCCACATGGTTCTTTTTAAAGTAGAATTTGAAGTTATTTATTGTTATTTTTACATCTTCTGTTCTCAAGAGGCACTACAATAAATTTTTTCTGTAATCTAGTCTGCTAAAATTTTGAAATTTTCTGAATACTCAGTTTCTTTTCTTTTCTTTTTTTTTGAGACAGAGCCTCAGGCTGTCCCCCTGGGTAGAGTGCCATGGCATCACAGCTCACAGCAACCTCCAACTCCTGGGCTCAGCGAGTTTCCTGCCTCAGCCTCCCAAGTAGCTAGGACCACAGGCGCCTGCCACAACGCCTGGCTATTTTTTTTGTTGTTGTTTGTTTGTTTTTTTGGTTGCAGCCATCACTGTTGTTTGGCGGGCTGGGCTGAATTCGAACCCGTCACCTTAGGTATATGTGACTGGTGCCTTAGCCACTTGAGCCACAGGTGCCGAGCCTGAATACTCATTTTCTATAATGTTTATTTTTTATTCATTTTTCCTTACTGATATAAAGTAATAAACCTTCACAATTCACTCTAAATAATGTATTTATAACTATTGAAATTGTTAAAATTATTCTCAAGTCAATTTTTTTTTCAGGTTAATTAAGGGTACAAAGAATTAGGTTACAATGTTTACATTTGTTAGGTAAAGTCCCTCAAGCCTGCTTTTGTTTGTTTGGGGGTTGTTTTTGAGACAGTCTCACTTTGTTGCCCTTGTTAGAGTGCCCTGGCATTGTAGCTCACAGCAGCCTTAAACTCTTGGGCGTAAGTGATCCTCTTGCCTCAGCCTCCCAAGTAGCTGGGACTATACGTGGCCACTACAACAGCAGGTTATTTTTTTAGAGACAGAGTCTCCTGCTCTCCCTGGTCTTGAACTCATGAGCTCAGGCAATATACCTGCCTTGGCCTCCTAGAGTGCTGGGATTATAGATGTGAGCCATCATGCCTGGCCAAGCCAAGTTTTTCTATTTATTTCAGATGTTATTAGTTGCTCAAGCCTTTTATAATCACTAATACAACGTAATTTTTTATTATAGTATATTTTCTTTTTCTTTTTTTTTGAGATTCAGTCTCACTCAGTCTCACCCTGGGTTGAATGCCATAGTATCACAGCATACCACATTCTGAAACTCTTGCCTCTGTTTCCCGAGTAGCTAGGACTATAGGTGCCTACCATAAAGTCTAGCTAGTTTTTCTATTTTTAGTAAAGACGAAGCTTTATACTTGCTCAGGCTGATCTCTAACTCCTGAGCTCAGATGACTAACCCACCTTGGCCTCCCAGAGTACTGGGATTATAAGTGTGAGCCACCACACTCAGCCAATAGTATATTTTCTTTCTTTTGTTTTCTACCAGTCACCAAATCTGCTAGTATATATTTTCAGCATAATTCTTAAATTTAAAATATTTCTGACACCTTGTATTGAAACTTGTTCTAGACATGTAGAAGAATTACAACTAAAACTTACAAAGGCTAATGAAAACGCAAGTTTTCTGGAGAAAAGTATTGGGGAAGTAACTCTGAAAGCTGAACAGAGTCAGCAAGAAGCAGTTAAAAAGCATGAGGAAGAAAAGAAAGAATTGGAGAAAAAACTGTTGGACCTGGTAAGGAAAGAATAAAGGGGATTGTTTGCTGGTGAGGAAGGCACGGGGCAATACAGCTAAGGCTAGCTGACTTACTCCTCCACTCGGGGTTTCTGTAGGAAAAGAAGATGGAAACAAGCCACAATCAATGTCAGGATCTGAAAGCCAGGTATGAAAAAGCCAGTTCTGAGACAGAAATCAAGCATGAAGAGATCCTGCAGAACCTACAAAAGATGCTGTTGGACACAGAGGAGAAGCTGAAGGCTGCACAAGAGGAGAACAGCACCTTGTTGGTGAAGATGGAGGAACTGAAAAAGCAAGCTGACAAAGCCAAAGTATGTTGTGGGAAAGAATTTTGTTGTTGCATTATAGCTTGCCTGAGTTTTCCATTGAGGCTGGGGGGCTGCTTAGAAAGCAGCAGTAAAATGGCCTCTGCAAATGTTAACCTTTCTAGCATGTGGGAGGGTGGTGAATTATATTTCCTATATCTTTAAGCATTTTGTGCCAGCTGCTGTTCCTTCTTGGGGATGATGGCTACATTCTTTCCCCTGAATATACTGTGTAGCCATCACCCTCTTGCTGCTTGTTCCTCAGCTGTTACAGAGATTCTTGTGTTGCCTGAGCTCTGTCTGTCTGCCTGCTTGTTCCTCTAATCTTGGCCATTCTTATTGCCACCTTGCACTAAGGTTAGGAGAGCCATCTTGCAGAAAAGTACAGGCAGAGCCCAAGTGAAGCAAGTTAAGTAGAGAATCAGGGGTGGGGAGGGCCTGATTGGAGGAATAGAGTTTTGAGAATTCTAAAGACGGCTTTTATGTTTATCCAGGAAGGCACAGTGAGCTTATTTACAAGGCAGCTAGATTCAAGAGTAGTGAGGAAACATCCTCTTAGTAGATTGAATAGAACTCTATATACTGGATTTCATTTTATGGTGTCAGGATTATATCTGTGCTCTAGTATATTTTTTGACTCTGGTAGTTTAATGATTTTCAACCTTTCTACTACTATGTAACTTTTTTTTTTTTTTGAGACAGAGTATCAAGCTGTTGTCCTGGGTAGAGTGCCGTGGCATCACAGCTCATAGCATCAAACTGTTGGGCTTAAGCGATTCTCTTGCCTCAGCCTCCCAAGCTGAGGGAGTCCTAGCTGGGATTGCAGGCGCCTGCCACAGTGTTCAGCTATTGTTTGGTTGTAGTTGTCATTGTTGTTTGGCAGGCCCAGCTGGATTCTAACCCACCAGCTCTGGTGTGTTTAGCACCCTGGCTGCTGAGCTATGGGCGCCGAGCCTACTATTTAACTTTTGATTGCTTAAAGAAAAGCAAGCATTTGTCTTTACTTATTTGGAAGGTGTTAGAGAAATATTTGTACTACATATAATAGTTTAATGAATTATAAAAGAGCATATATAGGACTTGAAACTAATCCCATTAAAAACCACCTGTTGAGCAGGGCGTGGTGGCTCACAACTGTAATCACAGCACTTTGGGAGGCTGAGGTGGGTGGATTGACTGAACTCATGAGTTCAAGACCAATCTGAGCTAGAACGAGACCCCTCCCCCTAAAAATAGCCAGGCATTGTGGCGGGTGCCTGTAATCCCAGCTACTAGGGAGGCTGAGGCAAGAGAATCACTTGAGCCCAGGAGTCTGAGGTTGCTGTGAGCTATAATGCCACAGTACTCCACCAAGGGCAACAAAGTGAGACTCTGTCTCAAAAAATAAATAAATAAATAAGCCCCGTGCTAAGTAAGCATGTTGTGACATAATGTGTCATGTGAGAGGCCAACATTCTCTTTCCCCACATGCTGACAATAAAATACCTGCAAAACACCTGCAGTTTTATGAGCCATTTAACACTGGGTATAATTCCCAGATCTTTTGTCTTTATGGTTTCCATTATCTGGAGAGACTCCAGGTTTTTAGTATTTCCTTTAAAATGTTGCAGCTTGACCAAACTACAGCATTCCAATAGGTTGTGTAAGGTCTTGCTGATTTTGTTTATTGGTTTTGTACAAGGGCCATTTCGTTAAAATGCCAGGATTATTGACCCTCCAAAGTCTGGGTAGCTGATTTCAGTAGATTTTAATGAGTCATGGACTCTGAGAATCTGATGAAACCTAGGGATATTTTCCCAGGAATGTTTGCATATGCACTCAACAAATTTTATATACAATTTTGACTTTCATAGAGCCCCAAAACCTCCATGTTCCTAGTTTAAGAGCCAGTGGTCTATAGCTGTGCTGTTCAATACACTAGTCACCAAGCCTTGTGAAACAATTTAAATTTGTTACATTTTAATAAAATTAAAGACCACATCAGTTGTACTCAACTGCATTTCATGTGCTCAGTAGTCACATGGCTACTATATATTTATATCATTACAGAATTTTCTGGAAAGCCCCAGTATAAACAGTGTGGTCAAATTATCTTATAAATCAATTCTTTAAAAAAAAAAAATCTATTCGTTTTGGTCACCAAAGCCTAGAAATTAGTCTGTATTTTTAATCTATTCGTTTTGGTCACCAAAGCCTAGAAATTAGTCTGTATTTTTATAGGTGATACTGGGACCAGTAACAGTCTTTAGTAAGTAAATTCCTACAGTAGGTTCGAAAGACAGCAGTTTATTTTTCCCTTGTTACACTCCTTTTTTTAGTTAAAATAAACTCAACTTTTTATAGTTCTTTGAATTGGGTTTTCAAAATTTCTTCTATGAATCCTTTCTACATTAGAAATAATTGGATCATTAGAAATAATTGAATAATTAGAATGGCAGGAAAGAATCTTATACCCTGATGTCAAAATCAAGCTACTGTATTTTTAACTATTAGGTAGCTACCAGGAATAATTTCATAAGTTGTTTCACAGATAAGCTAATAGATGTATAAGCAGTTTAGTAAGCTAAACTTGCTTTGTATTATCTTTTTATGGGCACTGTTTATTCATAGTTTGTTTTTACTGTTATTCAGATAGTTTCTATAAGTTTTACTGTAGACATTTTTTAACTTTTATGATTTAGGTTGTATTATTTGGGCTTGCATTTGTCTGCTTGATTTCATTTTTGTTTCCATTCTCCCCATCTTTTGTTTCTGTAGTCGCTAACTTATTTGTTAACATCAGCCAAAAAAGAAATTGAACTAATGTCAGAAGAGCTGAGGGGTCTGAAATCAGAGAAGCAGCTTCTTGCACAGGAGGGAAATGATCTAAAGTTAGAAAAAGGTTCACTTTTATCAAAACTTGTAGAGGTGGAGGCCAAAATAACTTTACTTCAGGAAGACCAACAGAAACTGTGGTCAGTAAACGAAACTCTTAATTTAGAAAAGGGGAAAGTCTTAGAAGAGAAGCAAGATGCTGAAAGGTGTTATCAGCAGGAACACCTTGATAAAGAAGCTTTGGCTATTGAGAGAGAGAAATTGCTTAAAGAAATCAATATTGCACAGGAAGAACTCTTAAAGATAAACATGGAAAATGACTCTTTGCGAGCATCTAAGATGAGCATGCAGGTACTCATTGAAGAGCTACAGTTCAGCAAAGATACTTTGATTGTGGAGTTCAAGAAAGATCTAGAAGAAAAAGATCACCTGGAGGATCAGATCAAGAAACTTACTGCTGAAAACCTTGTCTTAGCTAAAGATAAGGATGACATTATTCAAAAGCTTCAGAGCTCTTATGAAGAGCTAGTTAAAGATCAGAAAACTTTGGCACAGGAGATCGAAGATCTCACAGCCGAGAAAAAGTTAGCTTTAGAGAAACAGTCAAGCCTTGATAGCATGTGCATAGCCTTAAAGATAGAACGAGACAATCTTCTTCAGAACAACAGAGATCTGCAATTTGAGAAGGACGTGCTGCTTCAAAACGAGGAAAAGCTGAACACCAGCCTGGAGGCTGCCCTCCAGGTCAAACAGTTGCTTCGCACGGAAGCCAGTGGGCTCCACGAACAGCTGGATGATGCCAGCAAAGCTCTGAGAAAGGCAGAGCTGGAGATGGTGCAGCTCCAGGCCACAAACACGAGCCTCACGAAGCTTCTAGAAGAGATTAAGGCCAGTCGGGCAATCACAGACTCTGAATGCATCCACCTTCTACATGAGAAAGAAACCTTGGCCGCCTCTGAGAGGAGACTTTTGGCTGAAAAAGAAGAACTTTTAAGTGAAAATAGGATCATTACTGAAAAACTCAACAAATGCTCAGAAGATGCTGCCCATACTGAGATGAACTTGAACGAGAAGATCACTTATCTAACTTCTGAGAAGGAGGTGGTCTGTCAGAAAATTACTAAGCTTAAAAAACAGCAGGACAGTCTCTTGAAAGAAAAATCTGCAGTGGAGATGCAAAATAGAGATTTACTTGCAGAGAGAGAAAATTCCATCAAAGGCATAGGCGACCTTAAAAGGAAATATGATCAAGAGTCTGCGAATAGAAGAATAATTGTGCATGAGAAGATGAAACTACTTGGTAATATTGATGCTCTGAAGAAAGAGCTTCAAGAGAGAAAAAAGGAAAACCAAGAACTAGCGGCCAGCAAATGTGATCTTTCTTTTATGCTGAAAGAGGCGCAAAATGCCAAAAAGAATCTAGAAAAAGAACACACTAACGTACTGCATGCAAAGGAGAGTTTGGATGCAGAACTTAAGAGTTGTTGTTCTGAAAAGAACATTTTGCTGAGGGATGGCTTGAACCTTCAAGAAGAGTGTCAGAAATTAAATGACGAGATGCACAAAATGCAGCAGTCCTTAATCCTGGAACAAGAAGCCAGAGCAAAGGAGAACGAGGCATCCTTGTATGAAAAAAATAAACTTCACGGGAGAATAGTGCTCCTGGAGCAGGAGGTGGAAGAGTTAAAAGTGTGTACTGGGGAGCTCAAATCTGAGAATTTTCTACTGATCCAAGAGAAGACCAAATCAGAGCAAAAGGTGGTAGAGATAATTAAGGAAAAGGAAGTCTTGAGTGCAGAAACAGCTCAACTTGCTGCCAAAATAGAGACTCTGAAAAGTGATTTTGCTGCCTTGTCCAAATCCAAGTTAGAATTGCAAGAACTGCACAGCTACCTCACCAAGATTCTGGATGACCTTCGGCTGAACCATGAGGTGACCTTGGCCGAAAGAGCCCAGGTGATACAAGACAACAAGAACCTTCTCACCGAAAAGAGAGAAATCATGGTGGAAAAGGACAAGCTTCTAAAAGAAAAAGAAAACCTGGCAGAAAGCTACTTTCTTCTTCAGAAAGAGATTAGCCAATTGGCCAAAACCAACAGCCATATTTCAGCCAATCTCCTAGAATCGCAAAATGAAAACCGTACATTGAGGAAAGACAAGAGCAAGCTTACCCTTAAAATTAGAGAGCTCGAGACTCTTCAGTCATTTACGGTAAAGTGAGAGGTTCAAGTATTGAGCACCTGGACTCCTTACTAACACTGTGCACTAACTTTAGTGGTTTAGGTGATATTTTTTCATTTCTGCTTATGGAAATCCACCCTATTGAATCAGTTGCTTGGATGTCTCAAGCTGTTTATTACAGTGTGTCTAAAAGGGAAATTCTTTACTAAATATCTAATTGTAGTAGTCTCTCCCCATTTGAAAAAATTTTTGCAAACTGTGAATAAAAAGGATTTATTTTTTAATTTTAAGGAGAAACTTTGTGAAAAGTTAACTGTGGGCTCTGCGCCTCTAGTTCAGTGGTTAGGGCGCTGGCCATTTGCACCAGAGCTGATGGGTTTGAACCCAGCCCGGTCCTACTAAACAACAACAACAACAACAAAAAATAGCCAGGTGTTGTGGCGGGCACCTGTAGTCCCGGTACTTGGGAGGCTGAGGCAAGAGAATCGCTCAAGCCCAAGAATTTGAGGTTGCTGTGAGCTGTGACACCACGGCACTCTATCAAGGGTAACATAGTGAGACTCTCTTTAAAAAAAAAAGTTAACTGTGGTTCTTAAAGGCTTAAGAGCAATAGTATACTATCTTCTGTTTGACTTTTAACTGTTCTTAGTCTATCCACTTGGAGTTGAAAGAGTCTATTGAAATCTTCATGGCTGGTAATTGGGTAGGTATAATGCAGAATTCCCATAAGCTTTATCAGACCAAATGAAATTATAAGAAAGTGCCAAAAAAAAAAAAAAAAAGAGTGCCTAAAATGATTTTGATTTTTTTTTTAATAGAGTTGGGGTCTCACTATGTTGTCAGGTTTGACTCCAACTCCTGGGCTCAAGTACTCCTCCTTTCTCAATCGCTGCATAGCTAGGACTACAGGTGTGTACCATCTTTTATGGTTATTTCTATATTTTTAAATTTTTTTTTTATATTTAGCAGCTAAAATTTTGTCTCCATATGCATATCTTTTTTATTCACAGCTACATTTGTATTCATTATCCTCAACTTTTCTCATATACTTTTGCACTAAATGCTTCTCATTTAGCTCTTAAGCCTTATGTTAGAGGTGCCCAAATAATTCTTATGTTTATTTGAAAAATTCCCAACCTAAATTTTGAATGATTAAAAAAGCCCTAAGTTTGAAATAGCAAAGATAAGTATTTTTAACTTACAGTAATATCATTCAGAGAAATTCAGCTATATAAGGATATTACTATTTATTGTCACTAAACAGTCTCTTAAATATAAGTCAGAAGGAAGAGAGTATGCTTGTCAGTGTAAGTAACTTGGAACTTTCATTGGAAGATGTAGGTTTAGAGGGTCTGAAATTATCCAAATTGCATAATTATTGAGAAATGGCATGAAAGGGTCTCCTTCCTTGTTCTACTTCAGAGTAAAGACCTTTCATGTCTCGGTCTGTCTGTTTGAACACTTGGTTGGTGACTGACTCACTCTCTCTGTGTGCCTCCCTTAACCACACAGACACTAAGCAGCATAGCCTGGTCATCACCTAACATTGTCAGTGAGGGGTGTCCTCATTTCTTATAGTGTTCCCTTGTATTTAGGCTGCTCAAACAGCAGAAGATGCCACGCAGATAATGGAACAGATGACCAAAGAGAAGACCGAGACGCTGGCCTCCTTGGAGGACACCAAGCAAACAAATGCTAAACTACAGAATGAAGTAATCACATTTAAATGGCTTTTTGTACAAAGAAGAGCTGACTGGCTTCATGGAATGTTTGATCATTAACTCAGGATTGCTTATGTTTTTGAAGTGTGGCCTTACCAAGGTTTGCTCTGTGTTAGTAGAGTTGAATGTGCACCAGAGCCATGATGATATTAAATAATGTGTATTATTACCTGTTTAGTAGGACCAACCTTTACAAGTTGAGGGACACCTCAATACCGTGGCTATCTAACATGACTATTTAATGATAGCAGTAGTGAGAGGAGGTACTGATGGCATCCTCTAGTTTTTGTATCCTTTATCTTATATCACACACATTTTTCTTCTCTTCTCTTTCTCGGTGTTGAGCCATGAAATTCCTTTCCTTAGCCCTAAGTTTGATGTACATCTTTTCTTGGCCTAATTTGGTACTGATTTCCTTTTGTGTCATCTTGAATGAGTCACTTCTGGAACTGGGACAAATTTGTGACGTCAGGATATTTTGATTCTGTCCACAAGTAGCATTTCCCTTTCTGTGATTCTTGTACTCCCACCTTCCCAGGCTTATACCAACCCTCTCTTTCTTTGGAAAGCTGTTCCCTAAATCCCAAGCAGACTGTTTCTCTGAAATGCCTATCTGAAGTTTTGTAGAATTTCAGATGCTCTTTAAGCAGGAGGGTGGCACCCATAGCTCAGTGTATAGGGCGCCAGCCACATACACCAGGGCTAGCAGGTTTGAACCCAGCCTGGGCCTGCTAAAACAACAGTGACAACTGCAACAACAACAAAAAAACAGCTGGGTATTGTGGTGGGTGCCTGTAGTCCCAGCTACTTGGGAGGCTGAGGCAAGAGACTTGCCTAAGCCTCTGTCTCAAAAAAAAAAAAAAAAAAAAGATAATTAGGTAAGACATTAAGAGATGAACAAGGGGAGGAGATGACCAAGCTGAATAGCCACCATTAAGGATAGGCTTCCTCATTATAGAGGAACAGGGATCAAAATCTATAAAGATGTGAACATTATGAGGTTATTATGGGGGTAAATAACAAAACTTCATAAACAGTTATAAAACCGATACAGAAAAAGACAAGCTAAAAATATAGAGACATTACAACAATCATAGATGTGAATCAAAATTAGAAGGCTAAAGTAAATGAAATTTTAGGGAGTGTCTCTAACCTTTTCGGAAGAAGTCAGAGAGGACTGTTTCCTTCTATACCCCTTTTTCTATAGCCAGAATATGAGACTGGATGAATCATCTCTTGGACCCATTGTGATATTTTGTTTTTATTGTTCTGTAAATCTGGAATGTTAGAGGGTGTTATGAGGAAAGTAGTGGTGTTAAAACTAGCAAGACACTTTCTAGGACTCCTAAATGGAGGCATGTAATGTGGCAAAAGCCTGAAAGCCAGCATGCTACATGAGCACACTTGAGGAACGGAGGCCCATCTTTGGTAGGGCCTCTGCACTGAGAGCCTCAGCCACCCTGTGGGAGTCTTTGGTCAGTCACATCTCCATCATCTCAGTAACATGCCTGCCTTTCCAGTGGGAACCAGATCCTAAGCTGATTGTGTCCCCTGTGGGCAAGTGATGGAGTTGAGTGGGTAGGAGTGCCCTTTAGTCCAACAATATGACTTTTTCATCTTCAGGTCCAAGTTCAGATGGATGACTAAATTTTTTTCAATCTACAAACATTTTGATTCAAATAAATTTTTATAATGAGAACTGTATGAATCTGGTACTGACATTGAAAAATGTCATATCCTAAATTAGTAATCTATGGGAAAGCAAAGGGGTTTCTTTTCATATAAAAAAATAATTATTGCTGATGTCATTGCTTTGCAGTTTTTTTCTTATTTTTTTTCTAAGGTGGATCATTTTTTAAATAGTTTAGTGATAAATACTGAGAATTGAACACAAAATGAAAAAAAACTTTAATTTTAGTTTATATAGCAATTTATGTGACATTTTGGCCAGATGTACAGGAAATGTCAGACTAAATGTGTAAGGAGGAAGCTTGCAGTTTATAATAGATTTGTCATTTGTAATCTCTTCACCCAGGTGACTTTTTTCTTGTTTTAGAAGTGTTTGATTTCATCTTTCTTTTTAATAAACATTTTCATGAGTAAATTTGTCCAGTCATGTCATTGGAAAAAGAAATAATTTCATCAAGTTTTTTTCTCTTGATCTTAAAGTTGGACACACTTAAAGAAAACAACTTGAAAAATGTGGAAGAGCTGAACAAATCGAAGGAACTCTTGACTGTAGAGAATCAAAAAATGGAAGAATTCAGGAAAGAAATGTAAGTTTATCTCCTGAAAGAAATTGTGGTATTTATTTTAAATTGAAAAAGTAAAAACAATGCTAATTATTTTAAAAATACTTTAAAATTACATAAAGTAAAAAGTACTAGTCACCTTTCCATACCCCAAACATTATCACATAACCCAAGAAGTAACCCCAGTAGCTGTTGCAAGGGTGGAACTACAGCTAAGTTAAAGGATCAAAAGGAAGTATGTGTTCGCCAATGAGTTATGTTTGGGATTCAAATGTAACTTTGTAAAGCCTTATGAAAGTACAAGTAGAATCAGTGGTTTAAAATAACATGTTTACATGGTAGTCTTAACATTTGGAAACTTTAGACCTTTCTATCAATTCTCTCAAAACCTTTTTTATAGGGGGAAAAAAACCCAAACAGCATGTCACTTTTGAGATTTTCAATATCTGTTTTAAGAGTAATCAAGTCTTCTGGCAGAGAAATTAGACAGCCAGCATTTTGGAAGATTCTTTAAAGTTAAGGTTTACCCATCAATCTGTTGCCCAGTTTCAGGCAGGCAAACTGTTCATGTTTCCTTTGTTGACTCTTTGAAGTTTGGTTATTGTAGTTATTAGAGATCCGTCTTTTTTTTTTTTTTTTTGAGACAGTGCCTCAAGCTATCCCCCTGGGTAGAGTACTGTGGCATCACAGCTCACAGCAACCTCCAACTCGTGGGCTCAAGCGAGTCTCCTGCCTCAGCCTCCCAAGTAGCTGAGACTACATGCCTGCCACAATGCCTGGCAATTTTTTTGTTGCAGTTGTTGTTGTTTAGCAGACCCAGGCTGGGTTCAAACCCGCCAGCCCCAGTGAATATGGCTGGCGCCTTAACCACTGAGCTATGGCATCGAGCCT